CACACACACACACACACACACACACACTCACACACACTCACACACACTCTCTCTCTCTCACACACACTCACTCACACGCTCACTCAGACACTCACTCACACACACACACGCTCACACGCTCTCACACTCTCACGCTCTCACGCTCTCTCTCTCTCTCACACACACACACACACACACACTCTCACTCGCTCACTCGCTCACACGCTCTCACACTCTCTCTCACTCACACACACACACGCACACACACACACACACACACACGCTCTCACACTCTCTCTCACTCACACACACACACGCTCTCACACTCTCTCTCACTCACACACACACACGCTCTCACACTCTCTCTCACTCACACACACACACGCTCTCACACTCTCTCTCACTCACACACACACACGCTCTCACACTCTCTCTCACTCACACACACACACGCTCTCACACTCTCTCTCACTCACACACACACACGCTCTCACACTCTCTCTCACTCACACACACACACGCTCTCACACTCTCTCTCACTCACACACACACACGCTCTCACACTCTCTCTCACTCACACACACACACGCTCTCACACTCTCTCTCACTCACACACACACACGCACACACACACACACTCACACACACTCTCTCTCTCTCACACACACACACACACACACACACACAAACTCACACACAATAGCATTAAAATATGATAAGAAATCATATTTTAATGCTATTATTTTTTTGTACTGTGCCAAAACTGTGCAATTGCAAATATATACATTGTATGTATATATAAAAATTATATTAAAATATGTATTTTAGAAATTATTATAATACATTATATCAACACTGAGAACACTGGTAAAATAAAGTCCAAAGTAAAACACCCAGATGCATTTTGGTAATGAGAATGAGGATATATTTTCTTAATTGTTTCCATTTCTTTGTTCAACATTTAATTCTTGAGTTTGGGATGAAATATGGTATTTAAACAGTATTCCAATAAATTCAAATCACAAACATGTCAGTGTTGTGGTGCTCTTTTGCTGGAGAAATCAGTGTTATTTTAGTATGGTTTATATAGTTTATAACAAAATATTGTTTTTAAAAATATATATAATATTGTTTATAAAATATATAGTATTTTATTTTATATTTTCATTTTTGTTCAAGTTTTAGTCATTTTATGTGCTTTTGTCAGTTTTTTTTTATATTCCTATTAATTTGTTTTTATTTAGGTTTTAAGTTTTAGTAATTAAGTCATTTAACTTATTTCTAAATTTGGTTCAATTTGAAGTTTTTACCCTAATACTTCTATTTTATTTAATTTCAGCATAATTTCAATTAACAAAAATTATTTTTAACAGCTTTTGATATAATTAACAATAACAACACTGAGGGACGAATCTAGAAGTGTAAACTTGAATAAAATGCATCTGATTTAGTTTTGAAAATGCTACAGTGTTGACTGATAGAAATAACAATGTCACGTTCAGATCAGCGCACCTCTCGAAGCGGCAGGTGTTGAGTCCGATCTTGATGGAGACGGCGCTGCCCGAGTTCAGATGACTGCCGTGAATAGTGATCCTCGTTCCTCCGGAAATGGGCCCGTATGACGGCTGCACACGAGTGAAGTACGGCGACTGGACACACACACACACACACACACACACACACACACACACACACACACACAAAGAGTATAC